GAGATGTGGATCAATGAAGGCAGGGCTAGAGAAGTCAGATGCTGGAAGAGCCCCGGGGGAGGGGGGATGCCAGAAAGGGCAAAGTCGGAGCCCAAGCAGAAGGTGGGGCAGGTGATGATGTCAACTGGAGTGAGAACACCAACAAAAGTGGGTCTTCAGCTCACTTATCTGGGGGCAGAGGGCTACACCGGGACTTCTTAGTTGCTATCTATAATTCTTTGGAAGACAGAAGAGAAAGAATGAGACAATGGAAAAAAAAAATGAGCTTTTTTTTTTTCATCTTCTTCCCCATTCTTTCAACAAATATTTCCAGTACTTCTTCCTCTGGGGCCCTGATTATCCTAGAAAAATAAACTCAAATCAAACAATCCGTCACAGTCTCACAGGTTCTTTTAGAGGATAGGTAGGGCTTAACTAACTGAAAAAAACTAACGAGCACAGAAGGAAAGGAGCTGATTGTGCATGTCACAGACACAGGCACTGGTTACCCCTCTGTGGCAGGTGCATTTGGCCTGGATTGTAGATGGCACCATTGAAGGATACAGGGTGGGTTGTCCTCCGGGCTCTTCTTCAGGTCATTTTTCACCTCATCCCGTGTCACAAGGGAGACAGTCAGGTGCTCATCCACGGGCACAATTGGCAAGGCAGTGACATTGACGACATCCATGTTCCTGAAATAAGCCATTGTCCGGTTTCTTGTAAAAGGATAAAACAGTAAGTTTCCATTTAAGAGCCTCTCATTTCCTACTCTATTCTTGTTCTCTGTTCCACCAGCCTCCTGGAAATCACAGATAACATAGAACCATCTTAGAAAACACAACCACGTTCATCTGGTAAAGCGGGGCTGATGGCAAGGCATGTGCTCTGTGCCCCGTGGGGAACGGAGGCCGTTGTCTGACAAGGCCTTCTGAGGGATTTCAGACATATACACTTTTCCTTTCCTTTCGATGCTCCCCCTGCTCCGCGCTGTTTCCCATGAAAATTGTTCTAGTTTTTATTTATTTATTTATTTATTTATTTATTTATTTATTTATTTATTTATGTTCTAGTTTTTAAAATAAGGAGACGAGAGCGATGAAAAGGCCAGGGCTCCCGGCCGCCCAGCAAACCAGTTTCCAAGTTAGAAAGGAAACCAAATCCCCATCTCTCTGAGACTCATCTGCCAAGTCAGAGATCTGGATTAGATTCCTAACACCCTTTTCAGCTCTCAGATGCTAGGACTCTGTGACTCCGGGTCTATCTCCGCAGCATGAGGCTCCTGATCTACCTGAGGCTTCCTGCTGCCTCCCAGAAAACTGGCCCCATCACTACTCTTCCTCCTGGCTTTGGAACACTCTGGCTGGACTGCTCTCCTGGGTCCTTGCTTATTGGCCAGGAGTTCATACTACCATCTGTGGCTCTTCTATGGCTGGAGCCCGGGGGCATAGGCCTGGTTCTAATGGAGTAAGACTCAGATCGGCCCTCAATAAGCTCATATGTAATGGAAGGAGAGGGAAAAGGTAGCTCAGTGGGAAAATTACCCCAGGGGCTCACCACATTGTCTTTTCCTCTCCTTGTGCTCATGGCCTTCCGCTCTGGCTCTTCTCCCCAGCCATACATCCTATAGGCCTGCCCGACTGAACTTCCTCCTGGTCCTTGCTCTGCTATGCTCTTGGTGCCTCTATGCCTTTTCACATGCTGTTCCCTCTATTCCACGCTCATCCCACATGATATATCTTTTGGGGAAAACCTTCTCTTATAAACAGTTTTTTTGTTTTTAAGTAGGTACCACACCTAGCATGGAACCCAACCCAGGGCTTGAACTCGTGACCCTGAGATCAAGACCTGAGCTGAGATCAAGAGTCAGACGCTTAACCAACTGAGCCACCCAGATGCCCCTCTTTTGGAAAACCTTCTTTTTTAAAAAAATATTTTATTTATTTATTTGACAGAGAAGAGACAGAGAGAGAGAGGGAACACAAGCAAGGGGGAGTGGGAGAGGGAGAAGCAGGCTTCCCACAGAGCAGGGAGCCCAACGTGGGGCTCGTACCCAGGACTCCGGGATCATGACCTGAGCCGAAGGCAGACGCTTAACCGACTGAGCCACCCAGGCGCCCCTGGAAAACCTTCTTGAATTACTCCAGGCCATTAGTCACTGCCCCTCCTCTGGGAAGTTCGGGATTCTGCTTTCATCTCTCCATTACTGCACTTACAATTCTGAACTGGAATTATTTGCTTCCACATCTTTCTCCATTAGGCAAGTTAATTCGCAGGGATTAGGTACACTCACTAATATTTGACTCCATCTTAGACTCACTCACCGTACTTCTTTCTAGTCCAAAGAAGCTTGGGGCTGTCCCAAGTCAGCTGGATTGCAGGAAAGCCTGTCCCAGGCCCAGGTCAGTACTATTTCCTCCTTCTAGCTCCTAGCCTTTCGCTATGTAGGCAAGAGGGAGACGGTAAGGAGAAGGCAGGTGCATTGCAGGGCTTCTTACTTTCCTCCCACCGACTCCCCAGCATGACTATGGCATGTTCTCTGAGAAGCAGGCTTAGGGCGACTCTGTCAAGAAGCCTCTTTTTTTTTTTTTTTTTTTTAAGATTTTTATTTATTTATTTATTTATTTGACAGAGAGAGACAGAGAGACAGGGAACACAAGCAGAAGGAATGAGAGAAGGAGAAGCAGGCTTCCCGCCGAGCAGGGAGCCCGAGGAACCTGGGACCATGACCTGAGCCGGAGGCAGATGCTTAACGACTGAGCCACCCAGGCGCCCCTGTCAAGAAGCCTCTTGCTTTAGCTTAACATCCTTACTCATGCTGAATGGAAGAATTGGCTATTATTATGGTTCTTAAAAGAAATGTTTAAAATACACACTCTGTTCTCTTCGGAATTTTTCATCATACCCTTTTAGGTATTCTCTGAAATATGATAAGCCTTTACTGTCACTCCTTACGGAGGAAAAAAGGATGGGGGACAAAACAAACTTCACTGACTATCTACCCTGTGGGCCTCACTGTGCTGTGTTGGGGGCAGACAAGTGGAAGAATAACAAACATTCCGCCCTCGTGTTGCACATATCCTGACACCTGGGACTTAAACGTCCCCTGTTTAAAGTTAACACGTTAAACAATTTTAATGTTTAAGTAAGTTAAAATGATGCTGATTTTGGAATCAGACTTTTGTTCAGTTTAAACTTCAGCCACTCAATGACGATTTACTGAGTGCCCAACACAAGCCAGCAGTGTGCTCTTACTGGGGACAGGGTGGTGAGCAAGCTAGACTTGATCCCTTCCTAAATGGAGCTTATGTCTATCAGGGGAGACATGCAATAATCAAATGATTATATAAATAATTGTGAATTATAACTGCAACCAGTGCTTTGAAGGGAAGGATGCAGTACTGTGAGATAAGCTGATATTAGGTACGGATCTAGTCAAGGTTTGAAGGAAGATCAGGAGTTAATTAGATAAAGGGGGATGGGGGAAATACCATCCAAGAAGAGGGGAGAAAGTGTAGACAAGTAGGAAAAGGCTACTGTGTGTCACAGTAGCCACTAACCACATGTGAAATTGGGCCCTTGGAATCTGGTCAGTGTGCCTGAAGAACTGAAATTTTACTTTTAATTAATTTAAACTTAAAAACTGAAGCAGTTGATTACATGTTGAAATGATTATATGTTAACATTGATTATATGTTGAAATGATAATATTTGGGACATATGAGTTAAATAAAAGGCTCAAATTAATATAACCTGATTTATTTTTTATTTTATTTTATATTTTTTAAAGATTTTATTTATTTATTTGACAGAGAGAGACACAGCGAGAGAGGGAACACAAGCAGGGGGAGTGGGAGAGGGAGAAGCAGGCTTCCCGCGGAGCAGGGAGCCGGATGCGGGGCTCGATCCCAGGATGCTGGGATCGTGACCTGAGCCGAAGGCGGCCGCTCAACGACTGAGCCACCCAGGCGCCCCAACCTGATTTTTTTTTAATCTTTAAAATATGGCTACTAGAAAATTCTAAACGACACATGTGGGCCCCGTATGTTTCCATTGGATAGTGCTGGGTTAGACCGTGCAGTTTGGTTCTAGGACATAGAACTCTCCCCTTTTCAATGCACTGGGGTGTATTTGGAAGAAAATTGCACTTGGAGCCAGAGACCCATGGGATCTGGCTCTCATTGGATGGATGACCTGGTGCACTCACTAGGCACCCAATAAACATCCCTTCAATGGCTCTGAGTTTTTTTCAAATGGAACCAATAATACACAGGACTTCAGGAGATCTGGCGTTGATCCTCGAGTAGTTCCCTGCCCTTGCTCATTGTGCCACCTTGAAGTGGTCCCTGGAGGGCCTCAGTTTCTCCTGCTTGTAAAAGCCGATCAGTGACGGGACGTGGGGAGGTGGCAGCGTGCGGAAGAGGGCAGGGCGGGTCATCGTCTGTCTGTACGTCTTACCTGAAGGCATAGGCGGAATCTGACGAACTTGGGGCCGTTTCCGCCACGGGTCCTTCAGCGGACCCCGCAAAGTTCTGGATGGGACATCCGACACCTGTTGCCCCCACATGCACCAGGAAGGGGTGCCCTTTGCTTTGTGGTCGGGGAGGAGGAAGAAGAGGAGGAGGGGCGTCGGGGAGAGGCCCATTTTGCTACTGTGAGTCCTGGCGTTCTCAAGGCAACGCCAGGCGCTGTCACCACTTCCACCTTTCCCACAACAATGGAACCGTGGTGAGCCACCGCGGCGCCCGCGACGCGCCGTTACCACGGTGACGGCCCCAGGTGGCTGGGGAGACCAGACCAATGGGTTTGTGGTTCCTCTTCCCAGTCTCTAGCACGGGGAATGTAAGTGACTCCAGGAGACATCCCCTCCGGAGTCTCTTTAATATACCGAGGGCAGTCCTCAAGCGTTTCTGGTGCCTCGCGTAGGCTCCCGTTGTGCCCCCCACCGCTCCGGGCACCCCCACCTCCCGCGATGGTAGAGTCCGGGGCGGGGATGCGCATGCGCACACACGTGGCGGGGGGCGGAACAGCGCCGGAGCCGTGGTCCAGGCGGGTGACGCGAACCCCTGCAGGCGGTTGCCGGCAAGTATCGGAATGCATCTGGACCCGGGCTTCTGGGATGCGCTAGGTCTAAGCAGAGCGTCGCGCCTGGGCCGGAGGACGAGGGGGACGCCCGGGTGTTTCCCAGGGGACCCAGGGCTTTCCAGCCGCTGGAGTGGCCCGAGGGCGCGGGACAGGGGGCGGAGGCTGGGTTCACCCCGGGCCCGTCACCGCCCTTCTCGCCTCGATTATAAACTGGGTTGGTAATTCCTCCGGGTAAATCGGCTGCGAAGAGGATTAAAGGACGTGCGTGTGAACGTTTGTTCTCTACCGTTAGTTGAGTCCAGCGCCCGGGGTGGCAGAGGGCGCGGCACGTACTGGGCTAGCTCTGAACTCTTTTGAGAATCCAGTGAAAGCCAAAAACTACTCCCTCACCTTCTTGTTAGATTAAAATAGGATAATGTATTTTATGGCCCATTGCAAACTGTAAAGCATTGCGCAGTGATGAAATGATTATTACCAGCTCAAAGGAGTAGAAGCCCAATCGCACTACCTTCCCACCGTGTGACTGGGGACAAGTTGCCTGGGACATACTTACCTCGATCTATTTTTCAGGGTTGTTGTGAGCATCAAATGCCACTGATTTTTTTTTTTTTTAAGATTTTATTTATTTGACAGAGAGAGACACAGCGAGAGAGGGAACACAAGCTGGTAGAGTGAGAGAGGGTGAAGCAGGCTTCCCCCTAGGCAGGGAGCCCGATGTGGGGCTTGAACCCAGGACCCTGGGATCATGACCTCAGCTGAAGGCAGAGGCTTAACGACTGAGCCACCCAGGCGCCCCCAAATGCCACTGATTTTTATAAACACTATAACAACCTGTAAGGGGGTACTGTTGTTATCCTTGTTTATAAATAAGCCTGAGGCCCAGAGAAGATTAAGTTCTGGGGTCCTAGTGGGGCTGCGCCACAGAGCCATGATTGGAACCCAGATGCTCTCCCTTTTCTTTCTTAGAGCTGAGCCCTCTCACTCCAGGGAGTTTAACTAGACAGACAGCTGCCTTGGGCCAAGGGGCTCAGCTGGGACCTCAGGGTCCACACTAATGTTCCAGGATCTTAGGATCTCAGTCAAAGTTGTTTGTGGATTATTGGGTATGACTTAAAAGGCATCTCGTCCAGACACTTCCTTTTCCTCGCCTGTAATATATTGATGATAGTTCTCTGCTTAAGGGTTATGAGAATTAATGAGGTCACAAGGGAAGTGCCCCTGTTAAAACCCTGAGAAAGAAAGTAATTTAGCCAGGGTTTAGCATGCAGTTGAGGGGCAGAGCCAGACCTGGTACTTGGTCTGTTGTGTCCAAGTGATAGGCTTAGGCGTAGTACTCTTAGCACAATTGCAGGCTTTGCACGAACACCTTGGCCAAGTATTTTTCCTTCTTCAGATGTCTCCAGGTTTTTGGAAGGGGAGAGGCTGCTTTTTAGTTGTTTTTTGTTCATTTGTGTTTTTTTTTCATAATTAACATATTATCATTGTAGTAATTTATTAAATCCAAAAGTGTATTTCTTTTTGTTAATTTTTTTAAATGACTTTATTTATTTGAGAGAGAGAGCACAAGCCGGGGCGGGGGGGAGGGCTACAGGCAAAGAAGCAGGCAGAGGGAGAAGCAGGCTCCCTGCTGAGCAAGGAGCCCAATGTGGGGCTTGATCTCAGGACCCTCCCAGGACCTGGAGATCATGACCAGAATGGAAGGCAACCGCTTAACCGACTGAGCCATCCAGGCGTCCCAGTATATTTAAAAAAAAAATTTTTTTTTAATTTTATTTATTTGAGAGAGAAAGCGCGCGCCCACACACACTCTCTCTCTCTCTCTCTCTCTCTCTCTCTCTCTCTGCACGAGTAGGGGGAGGGGCAGAGGGAGAAGCAGACTCCCTGCTGAGCACGGAGCCTGACATGGGGCTTGATCCCAGCACCCAGAGATCATGACCAGAGCCAAAGACAACGGCTTAACCGACTGAGCCACCCAGGCGCCCCCAGAAGTATATTTATTTAATAGAATTTGATATTATTATAACATATGAAATTGCTACCACTTGACCACTTTTTACCTATAAAAAGATTTCACTAAAGCCACCATCCTACTCCCCTTCCTACATTTAACCACAGTGAGCAGTTTGGTGTATCTTTCCAGATTTTTTTTCTATTTTTTAATTTACACACCTATATTCTTGCCTTTTTTTTTCTTTCTGTCTTGTGGCATTATAGTATACACATTGTTCTGCATCTTGCTTTCTTAATGCTTAAAGTGTGTTGGAGGTCTTTCCAGGGCAGTCCATACACAGCGGCCTCATTGTTTTTACTTGTCCTGTTGCATTCCACTATAATAATGTGCTACAATGTATTTGGCTATACCAACCATTGGTAGACATTTTGGATTGTTTTTTATTTTTCACTTTTACCAACAATAGGGAACATACGTCTGTACATGTCCAATTCTTTCTGGAGGATAAATTTTTAGAAGGTTTGGCGGTCAAAAAGTATGCACATTTATTTTATTTTATTTTTTTAAAGATTTTATTTATTTGAGAGAGAGTGAATGAGAGATAGAGAGCACGAGAGGGAAGAGGGTCAGAGGGAGAAGCAGACTCCCTGCTGAGCAGGGAGCCCGATGTGGGACTCGATCCCAGGACTCCAGGATCATGACCTGAGCCGAAGGCAGTCGCTTAACCACCTGAGCCACCCAGGCGCCCTATTTTATTTTATTTTTTTTAAGATTTTATTTATTTTTTTTACAGAGAGAGAGAGAGAGACAGCGAGAGAGGGAACACAAGCAGGGGGAGTTGGAGGGGGAGAAGCAGGCTTCCCGTCAAGCAGGGAGCCCGATGCAGGGCTCAGTCCCAGGACCCCGGGGATCATGACGTGAGCCGAAGGCAGACGCTTAATGACTGAGCCACCCAGGTGCCCCAAGTATGCACGTTTAAAATTTTGCTAGGTTTTGCCTAACTGGGAAAATTACAGCATCTTATGTTTCCACCTAAAGAAAACTAAAGTGTCTTTTTATCCACACCCTCACGAGCATTGGATATTTTTCATCTTTTAAGTTTTGCCAATATGGTGGATGAAAATGCTTCTTTTTATGATGTACCCCACTAGTTATTAATATGAGAGTAATTTGATATATACCTTTAGCCAGCTGACCATGACTGTGGACCCTGGGAAAATTTGGCTAACTTATCCACACCCTAGTCTTCTCATCTCTGATATGGATAGGAAAACACCTACCTAATGGGGTTGCTGCAAGGAATAAAAGAAATCTATGAAGTGTGCTCAGCATTGGGCCCAACTGATGGTGGCTAGGCAGAAAGTGATACTAGTTTGTGTTTACTGTGCTCTTTTCTTTTTCGGGTTAAACAATTTCTTCCCAGATATTCTCGTTTCATTCTTGTTCTGCCCTCTACAGACATCAGATTACTTGTCTTCCCTCTTCCAACCTTTTACTTTTCTCCAGAGAAACAATACCAGAGCCTTCCACTGTTTTGGGTGACACGGTAGCGCGGCTTCAGTCTCTCTCAGCATCTTGGTCCCCACTGCTGTCCCATCCACCACCAAGCTGGAAGCATTCTGCTTTGTCCAAGTACTCATATTGTGCCCAGGCTCAAATGCCATCCCCTAGGTTGTGGATCTACTGCTGTTTTTAATTACAAATACACACCTACCAATGAAACTCTCATGAGTACACCTGCTCCAAATATCTTTATTTTTATTTATTTATAAATCATACAGACATGAACTTCTGTATTATATATTGTAATACCTCCAAAGAACCTTCTAGACTTTTGTCATTAATCTTAGTGACATTAATTTCTACATCACTGAAAATAGCACAGGTTTTCGTCACGTTCTCATTGAGGGCATGTCTTCGTAATTGTGATTGATTCAAACAATGAGTTATCTTTTAGTGATAGTTGATATAAACCTTGTTTCACATGGTCTTGAGAAATTCTCTCTTTTTATGGCCAGCTTTTTGTCAGATGTGATTAATTCATTACTGTTTTGGTTTTTTTTTAGGATTTTATTTATTTGAGAGAGAGAGAGAGAGCGAGTGCGTGCGTGCACGTGTAGGTAGGGGGAGGGGCAGAGGCAGAGGGAGAAGCAGACTCCCCGCTGAGCAGGGAGCCTGATGCCAGGCTTGATCCCCAGACCCTGAGTCATGACCTGAGCTGAAGGCAGATGCTTAACTGACTGGGCCACCCAGGCACTCAATTCATTACTGTTTTTATCTTATAATGTGGCAGAGGAAGATTTTATACATAGGAGTAGGAAAATCAAGAGCTCTGTTTCCTTCTGTTCATTTGTCCTTTTTTTTAGATTTTTTATTTATCTATTTGACAGAGAGAGACACAGAGAGGGAACGCAAGCAGGGGGAGTGGAAGAGGGAGAAGCAGGCTTCCCGCCAAGCAGGGGAGCCCGATCCCAGGACCCTGGGATCATGATCTGAGCTGAAGGCAGACGCTGAACGACTGAGCCACGCAGGCGCCCCCATTTGTGCTTTTGTTATGGTTATTTTCAGTCTACAGTTTCTTAGAAGGAATCTTTTTAAACTACTTGTGTATTATAAGTTAAAATTGGGTAATATCTGGGAAGAAATGAACCTTGACCTCTGTCTCACACCTTGTACAAAAATTAATTCCAGATGAATCATAGTCCTAAATGTGAAAGCTAAAACAATAAAATTTGCAGAAGGTTATATATATGAAAATATGACCTTGGAATGGTAAAATAAAAAAAATATGACCTTGGAGTAGGCAAAAATTTCTTAAATAGGATACAAAACACTAATCATTAAATAAAATTGATAGAGGGGCGCCTGGGTGGCTCAGTCGTTAAGCATCTGCCTTCGGCTCAGGTCATGATCCTGGGGTCCTGGGATCCAGCCCCGCATCAGGCTCCTTGCTCGACGGGAAGAAGCCTGCTTCTCCCTCTCCCACTCCCCCTGCTTGTGTTCCCTCTCTCACTGTGTCTCTCTCTGTCAAATAAATAAAATCTTTTAAAAATATAAATAAATAAATAAATAAAATTGATAGATTCCGTTAAAATTAAGAACTTCTTTAATCAGGGCGCCTGGGTGGCTCAGTTGGTTAAGCGACTGCCTTCGGCTCAGGTCATGATCCTGGAGTCCCGGGATCGAGTCCCACATCGGGCTCCCTGCTCGGCGGGGAGTCTGCTTCTCCCTCTGACCCTCTTCCCTCTCATGCTCTCTATCTCTCATTCTCTCTCTCTCAAATAAATAAAATCTTAAAACAAACAAAAAAAAAAGAACTTCTTTAATCAAAAAGAAGCCAATAAGAAAGCAGGAAGACAAGTCCCAGATTGGGAGAAGATATTTTCAGTATTCTCTGTCTGTACAATAAAGGACTTATAGTCAGCATATATATAGAGCCCTTACAAATGAATAAGAAAATGGTAGAAAGGCCAGTAGAAAAGTGGCAAAAGACTTGAACAAGCATCTCACAAAAGAGGGTGTCTAAATGTCCGATGAGTATATGAAAAGGTGCTCCATTTAATTACTTATTGGGGAAAAGCAATTTAAGCACTCAATGTGGTACTATATACTACCAAAATAGATAAAATGAAAAAGATAGGAAATGCCCAAAGTTCAAAAGTTCATACACTGTTGGTAGGACATATAAATTGGCTCAACCACTTTGGAAAACCATTTAGCAGTATCTACTACAGCTGAATATATGAACACCCTACAACTCCACAATTCCACCTCCGGGTATAGAATCAGAGAAGTGTACTAAGGTGTACAGAAGTACATGTCCACGTATGTTCTTAGCATTACTGTTTCTAATTGACAAAAACTGAAACAATCCAAATGTCCACTTACTCAGAATATTTTACTGCAATGTGAATGAACAAACTCTTAACTACACAGAACACAGACAAGTCTCACAAACGATATCGAGTGAAAAAAACCAAACACAGAAGAAGACATAGTGCATGAATCCATGGATATAAAGCTGCTGGGCGAGGTAGGCAGGGTGATGAAATGTTCTGTATCCTGATCTGGAGGGTGGCTACATAGGAGTCGGGGTGGTGTGTGTGTGTAGTAAAAATTCATGAAGCCATACACTTACAATCTGTATACTTTTCTGTGTTATACATAAATATACAAAAATATTTACCCCACCTCCCCACCCCCAGAAGGGGCAGTGTCAGTAAATCCACTTCACTGCGCCTGTGTGAATTGCAGTAGGTTGTAATGTGCTGAAAGCAAATGTGTGGTGTCAGCCCTGCCATGTGGTGGGCCTCCTCCTTCCACTGGACACCTCACCTGCCACACAGGACAGGTGGCCTTCTGACATAGGACTGACTGAGGGGCACTGTTCTCATGGAGTCTTTGGGGCGCCTGGGTGGCTCAGTCGTTAAGCGTCTGCCTTCGGCTCAGGTCGTGATCCCAGGGTCCTGGGATCGAGCCCCGCATCGGGCTCCCTGCTCTGTGGGAAGCCTGCTTCTCCCTCTCCCGCTCCCCCCGCTTGTGTTCCCTCTCTCGCTGTGTCTCTCTCTGTCAAATAAATAAAATCTTTAAAAAAAATAAAATAAAAAATAAAATGGAGTCTGTGCAGGGGCCCTTGCCCTACATGTGATTCTCACCAGCATCCAGGAACGAGCAGGATTGCATTCCTTGTGCTAGACTCTAAATCTGGTGATGTCACCTCATGACAAAACTTGAAACAGGCAAGTTAGGCATTTGCCCGTGGTGACTAAACTGTAGAGCCTTACGGTCCTGCACTGAAATTCTAGTGACCACTTAGGACCTTAGTCTTTCTAAACCTCATCTGTTCAATGGGGATAACAAGGGGAGTAAACAAAGCGTGGTTGTGAGAGTTGAGGTGTTTCATGAAAGGGGTTCATTGAGCATTCTCCCTAGTGAGCTCTCAACACATGTGCGCCATCACCAGGATTGTTAAGAGCCAGGTGGTAAGATGTATGTTTCAATGATTTGAGGACGGTGGCGTAAGGTCATTAACCCATCTGTTTGTATCTGTGACTTTTTCTGACGGTAGGAGAAGGGAGCATCGACCTTTCCTTCATCAGGCCCAAGATGCCTCTCTTTGGGAATACGTTCAGTCCCAAGAAGACGCCCCCTCGGAAGTCCGCTTCTCTCTCCAACCTGCATAATGTGAGTATCACTGCTGGGGCCCATCCCAGTGTGCAGGGACTGGAGCATCAAGCCTGGTCTCTGATGGAAAGTGTGGTTCTCCAGAGGCATCCTTGTAAGGAGGACATCCTTCTAATTCATATTATTGCTATTGCTAAAAACATTTTTAACTCCTGGGGCACCTGGCTGGCTCAGTCAGAAAAGCACGCAACTCTTGAGCTTGCGTTCATGAGTTTGAGCCCCATGTTGGGTATAGAGATTACTTAAATAAGTAAACTTAAAAAAAATTTGTTTTTAAAGATTTTATTTATTTGAGAGAGTGAGCGAGAGAGTACACGAGCAGGGGCAGAGGGAGAGGGAGAAGCAGACTGCCCTGCTGAGCAGGGAGCCTGACGTGGGACTCGATCCCAGGACCCTGGGATCATGACCTGAGCTGAAGGCAGACGCTTAACCGACTGAGCCACCCGGGCACCCCCCCCGCAAAAAACCATTTTTAACTCCTGTTTGGAAATCATCATCAGAGCATGTTCAGGAACCTGGTAAGATGGTCAGTCGCGGGATGATTTTTGGCTCCAAATGGTATTATCCAGCTAGCTTTCACTTTATTCCCAAGACCTGGCCAGGAATTGATTTTAATTGTGTCTGAGAATCAAATTCATTCTCAAAGGATGATGTTTTGCCACCGTTAATGGCATTCAAGGGTGTGTTGAAGCTCCAGACGCAGCTCCTGGAGCACAGGGCTGGTTGCACTCATCCTGGGATGCCCAGTCCTAGTCCTGGTGCCCCATGGCTGCTGAGTGAGTTGTAGAAGCTCTGAAAACCACATGACAGACCAGCTACAACTACAGACCGGGAGTTAGCATTTCACGCCTTTTCCATGACCTGTAGAGCTCCATGGTAAGCAACGGATAACATAGGGGCTTATTACCTCTAAAAAGGATTTTCTACTTTATTAAAAATTTATAGTAAGATTTCTTAAACTGGGGGCACCTGGGTGGCTCAGTTGTTAAGCGTCTGCCTTCGGCTCAGGTCATGATCCCAGGGTCCTGGGATCGAGCCCCGCATCGGGCTCCCTGCTCCGTCGGAAGCCTGCTTTTCCCTCTCCCACTGCCCCTGCTTGTGTTCCCTCTCTCGCTGTGTCTCTCTCTGTCAAATAAATAAAATCTTAAAAAAAAAAAAAAAAGATTTCTTAAACTGTGAAGTGCCCAGCAGATGTCAAATAATTCAAATTTCAGCATATATAGTTTTTCTGGAAAACATGTATAATAAAGTGGGAAGTTTCTTCTTACAGTGTAAAAGTTTTTGTTGTACCTTATTTGATTTTCTGACTGAACAAAAGCGAGAAAATGTGCCCGGTGATGATTAGAGGAAAGAAATGATTTGCCGGGTCACACAGTTAGTGGGACTGTCTCGTCCACAGCTGGATCGGTCAACCCGGGAGGTGGAGCTGGGCCTCGACTATGGAACCCCCACCATGAACCTGGCGGGGCAAAGCCTGAAGTTTGAAAACGGCCAGTGGATAGCAGGTGGGCTGATCTCCTGCCGTGGTGTCCACGGAGAGCATGGAAGCAAAAGCCCGCATGTAACTGCCCATTCTGTCCTTTCCCCCAGAGGCAGGGATTAGTGGCGGTGTGGACAGAAGGGAGGCCCAGCGCCTCCGCAGGCGGAACCAGCAGTTGGAGGAAGAGAACAATCTCTTGCGGCTAAAGGTGGACATCCTACTGGACATGGTGAGGAGGGCGATGGGAAGGGAGGTCTAGCCTTTTTTTTTTTAAAGATTTTATTTATTTATTTATTTGACAGAGAGACAGCAAGAGAGGGAACACAAGCAGGGGGAGCGGGAGAGGGAGAAGCAGGCCTCCTGCTGAGCAGGGAGCCCGATGCGGGGCTCGATCCCAGGATCCTGGGATCATGACCTGAGCCGAAGGCAGACGCTTAACCGACTGAGCCACCCAGGCGTCCCTGCCTAGGCTTTTCTGGTGGGAGGCTCCACCACGAGTCATTCCATCCAAGCCCAGGTACAGTGCTTTGAATCCAAAGATCCAGATCATACAGCGCCCCTGCTCTCAAGGGCTCACAGTCTAGCAGGGAGGTGGGCAGTAGGCGCACACAGTGACAGGGCCTCATGGTGAGGGCAACGGTTGGAGTCTGCGTTGGGCCGGGTGTCAGCATAGGACGGAGAACAAGTCATTCTGTCGAGTCAGGAGGGTGTTGGAGGAAGGGATATTTGAGCTGAATGTGGAAGGATAAAGGGAGGAATGGAGGATGGAATGAAGGCTTTCCAGGAAGAAGGACCGTCTGCCCATGGCTTGGAGGTGTCCCATATCAAGCCGGTCCAGACCTGCCGAGGAGCACGCTCTCTCGGTTCCTTGTGGCTGCAAAAGACCCAGTGGGCCACTGGGCCTGGAGCTGCAGGTGGTGACTGGGACACAGGAGAGCCCTTGCTGTCATGCGTTCTGGAGCCAACCCGCCTGGTTCCTTGTGCAGCGCCGCCACTGGCTTTGTGACTTTAGCAAATTACCTCATGGCTGCATGTGTCAAAACTTAGTGTCTTCATCAGTGAAACAGGCACCATGAGAGGATCTGCCTCATGCTGAGTTAATAATCCAAGTAAAGCACTTGGAAAAGAGAATTGCTCAGAAGTGTAGCTTTTTTCCCCCGCAGTAAGCTGACCTCTACTTTGGAGAGTTAAGTTTCTGTCCCTGTCTTGAATATCTTCCACTTTCTACTCTATAAAGTCCATTGAAAGATCCTAATGAGGAAAGTGGCATTCTTTTTCAAGCATTTTTTCCCCTAATCACCATTATGTGAGCTACGGCTCAGAAACAACTCAGACCCTAATTCTTTAGCCTTAGGATGGCCCATTGTCCGCCTTTTTCATCCTGAGGCCTGCTGTCTTTAAGGCAGCGAATGCTGAGCAATCCTAGGTGACCAGAATGTTGCGAGGGTGGATTGTGGCTGTTCTTTATGTACTGGAGGCCCTGGGGTTCCCCAAGGAGTTCCCACGGTGGACGGCATCGGCGGTGTGAGAGAGAGGCCGGGGGGGGGGGGCTCTTTCCCCAGTGCACAGAGCTGCCCTTGCGAACGTGACACAGCCCAGAAGGGTCCTGCTTTCTTACAGTCTCCTGCCTTCATTTCAGCTGTCCGAGACCACCGCCGAGTCCCACTTAATGGAGAAAGAATTGGAGGAGCTGAAGAGCGTCAGCCGCAGGAGGAAATGAGCCCCTGAAGATACTTGTTAGGAGAAAAGGACATTCGTTAGAAGTCCACCGACCAGAGGAGTGGGATGTGGCTGAGGGTTTTTTGTAGCCGAACTAGGGGATTAGGTACTGGGAGAGAGGTATAATGGGGCAAAAGGCCCCCCTCAGGTTGGCAGCAGGAAGGTACAACATTGCTGGCAGAAACCAGGACCCCAGGCCAGGGCGGTGAGCAGGAACAAGCCCTGGGGTACTGCCGGTAGTCACTTCACGTACGAATGTGCCTTCCCAGGTTCTGCCTCACCGGACTGATGCAGCTGGCTGAAGCAGCTGGACTTCATTGCCTCACCGCTCATTGCTGGTATTTGGGGTGTGGCACGAGCACTTCTAAACAGCTTGTGATGGGGGCCTCTGATGAGCAGCCCTCCTGGTTCTCTGCACCGCCGCCCCCCCCCCCCGGGGCTACTCTCTCTGTCCTTTAAAGAATACTTGTTCGCGGAATCCATCCCCCTCTTCTGGCTTCAGCTTCTCGGTGGCGAGCCCCAGCGTTCCACGGCAACACTATTTTTGTGCTACTTTCCTGTTTACTTTCTCAAAATTAAATGATGGTATATAATCTGTCTGTGGCCAAAGTGACTGAGAAATGAAAGTAGCAGTTCTTGAAGAAGTCAGTGGACCCTGGAGTCTAAGCTTCTTTTTTTTTTTTTTTTTTTAATATTTTATTTATTTATTTGAGAGAGAGAGAGCACATGAGAGGGAAGAGGGTCAGAGGGAGAAGCAGACTCCCTGCCGAGCAGGGAGCCCGATGCGGGACTCGATCCCAGGACTCCAGGATCATGACCTGAGCCGAAGGCAGTCGCTGAACCAACTGAGCCACCCAGGCGCCTGGAGTCTAAGCTTCTGTTTGGCTGTCCAGAGACAGAGTTTTTAAGTTGTGGGGAAATGTCACCCCTGCAGGAGAAGCATTCCAGCTTCCTGGGCATCCGCCGAGGCTGACTGGAAACAGAACAGTCTCTCTGCCCAGATTCCTCTGCTGTCCTTCAGAGATCTGGGACTAGCCTGGACCTGACAGGGACCGAGTCGTCGAGTGGTCTGGTCGAGTGGTCGGGGTGGGGGGCTGCATTCCTAGAGAGGGAATTTGCGCCTAAGTCTGTGTCAGCCGAGCTGCTGTGGCTGGAGGAGGGAGTCAGTGAGGGAACCCAGCTCCCAAAGTTAAGGGGGAGGGCCCTGAGATGGGGACAGAGCCCAGAGCTTTAGCCTGGCGATGGCTATGATGGTCAGCAGTTTCTGCAAGCCTGTGATTTGTGTGGAACAGACCTCAGCACCTTGCCCTCCTACTCTTGTCTCCCTCAGCTCAGCCCTGTGAATGGGGGACTGGCAGCAGTTGTCCTCAGAGGTACGAAACCAGGTTCCAGGAGGTTCAGAAGCTGGTCCAGGATCATACAGAAGTGTGAGAGTCTGCTGACTCCCAGCTCCTGGTGAAAGGGAGGAGCTGGTAGCGGACGGCCTCCAGTGGACCAGCTCTAGGGGCGATGGATAGAGGCTCCACCCCGTAAGCTCACCTTCTGATATAGGAGAGAATAACTCAGAAGAAATCTGAGGATACAAAAGTAAACAGGATGTAAATGCTTCAGCTCATGGCAGCAGTTGAGAGTTCGTGTTCCTGGCCCCGCATCAGGAGCAACCATTTATTGAGTGCCTTCCAATGCCAGACACCTATTGCTGAATCTCATAGAATTCAGGTTTGTTATTGTCCCCTGCTTTTAGATGAAGAAACGAACTCCCTCAAGGTGACACAGCTGGAAGGGGTGGAGCCTGGACCGAAACCCTGGGAATCATGAGGGGCAGGTTTGGTTGTCACCGTGATGTGTGTCCCCGCATCACCCTGCCACCAGAGAGCCCTGGAGCCATTATGTGGGACAGTTCTGCAGTAAAGAAGGACTTCTATTTTGAGTGATAAGGGAAATAAGCTGTCGGTGAGTTTGAGCGGAGGAGTGCTATGATCAATTTTTTTAAAAGATTTATTTATTTTAGAGAGTGTACGGCAGGGAGGGGCAGAGGGAGAGGGGAGAGAACCTCCAACAGACTCCCAACGCGGGACTTGATGTCATGACCCTGAGATCATTACTTGAGCTGAAATCAAGAATCAGAGGCTCAACTGACAATCACCCAAGTGTCCCAGTCAATTTGTGTTTCCTAATGGCTATGAGGAAAAGAGGAAGGAGAAAAGAGGAAGGTGGCTACCTCTCACCACCACAACCTTTATGTTTTTCCCAGGGAGATGCTATCTACTTTCAAGTTTTTGTTTTTTTTTTTAAAGATTTTATTTATTTGACAGAGAGAGACATAGCAAGAGAGAGAACACAAGCGGGGGGGTGGGGGAGGGAGAAGCAGGCTTCCCATGGAGCAGGGAGCCCGACGTGGGGCTCGATTCCAGGACCCTGGGACCCTGGGATCATGATCTGAGCCGAAGGCAGATGCTTAACAACTGAGCCACCCAGGCGCCCCTACTTTCAAGTTCTTAACCTTTCTAGTCAGATACATCCTTCAGGTTCTGGTTAAAATTCTTCCTCCTTCAAAGACTTCATGAACCAAATCTGCTATGGATGGGCCACCCAAGTAAATAGTGCTGTCTACTTGACGTTATCTCTTGTTATACCACAACAATTTTGGGAATTTCTGTGCCGCGCGTCAAGTTACGGGGCGCTGTTATGGGGGAGCTGCACGGAAGCTCTGGGGGCGTCAGGGAGCGAGTGAAGGATTAGAGGCAGTTGGAGGGAGTCCTACAGGCCTCGCAAGGGGATCCACCTGCACAATTGTGCAGATACAGGCTAATGTGTGTTTTTTTATGGGAGGGGCTTACAGCTTTTCTAAGATTCTCAAAGGGATCTGTGCCTGCCCACTGACCCACATCAAGAACTGCTGTATCACCAATTTCAAATTCTGACAGGTCAGAAATGGGAAAGGTGAAATCATGGACTCACGGGATAGGGTAGGAGAGGAGCCAGAGGCTGGGGTTCCAGAACACCCCATCTCCATCCAAATGGCAAAGTTAGCTGTGCACCTGCCTGGGGCATTCACATTCACTTGTTAGCACCTTTATTTGTCTCCTTACCCTTCCATAGTGCCCCCTGGCCGAGCACCATTCTTGCCTTGCTGCTTCTTTGCTGCCTCTCGGCATTTCTCCCTGAAACCTTCAGTGAAGCCACTCTTCTCCGATTTCCCTTCTTCCTCTCCAGCAGCTCCTCCTTGAACCTCTTGAGGCTCCGCTTCCCCCCTCTTTTCCCCCAAGAGTTTTGATTTTCTATTTGTTTTTAATTTAAATTTTTTTCTATGTGGCAGATTACATACAACATAAAATTTACCATCTTCACCATTTATAATTAGTTCAGTGGTACCAAATACATTCATAATGATTGCACTCATCACCACCATCCATCTCCAGATGCTTCATCTTGTAAAGCTGAAACTCTGTACCCATCAAACAGTAACTCCCCATTTTGTAACCGAACCCAAGTTCAAGTGCCTGACGTGCCGTAAAGCTGATCACTGAAACAGACTTCGTGTGCAGCAAGGCAAAAGTTTATTCTTGCAGCCAAATGAGGAGCCGGGAAGACAAGCCTCAAGTCGGCCTCCCTGAAGCAGGAGAGCCAGGGATTTTTAACAAGTGGAAAAGGGTCTGAGTAAAGGGGAGAGGAGTTACGTGACTCAAAATCAGATAAAGGAAGTTATGAAGTAAGGGAGGGTTAACTGCATTTTGTTGGGCTCTAAGGGGCGCAGTGTCCTCAGTGGTTCTAGTTGGCTTCAGGAGGAAACCTTGAGTTCCTGCAAAACAATTAAATTAACACTTAGCATCTCTCCCAGGGCTTTTAATACTCTGTACTGCATGATGTCCCCCCTCTTTTTTTTATCCCTCCTCAGTGATAGAATTATTGAAAGTTCTTTTATTCTTTTTTTTAAGATTTTATTTATTTATTTTTAAAGATTTTATTTATTTATTTGACAGAGAGAGAGATGGTGAGAGAGGGAACACAAGCAGGGGGAGTGGGAGAGGGAGAAGCAGGCTTCCCGCGGAGCAGGGAGCCCAATGTGGGTCTCGATCCCAGGACCCTGGGATCATGACCCGAGCCGAAGGTAGACGCTTAACCTTGAATGCTCTACCAAGTGAGCCACCCAGGCGCCCCAAAAGTTCTTTTATTCTTAAATATAGGGTTTTTGTTTTTAGATCATGTATTGCTCTTGTGAATATAAACAACCAAATTAGTTGGTTAAAGTTTTCCTAAAACTTCCCCACATTAGTATTGTGATTTTCCACTTGGAGGCATTAAAGCCTGTACCTTCCACATAAGATTGCCTTCTCTAGGCACACCTGGCTGGCTCACTTGGTAGAGCATTCAACTCTTGATCTCAGGATCGTGAATTCAAGCCCCAGGTTGGGTGTGGAGCCTACTTAAAAAAAGATTGCCTTCTCTCCCTCAAACACTTCCAGCATTTCCTAAAAGCCTACAAAAGAATTGAAAGCCACTGGTACTGGGCTCTTAAGCTGCCCACTTTATATAGTGCTAGCCAACATAAATAATTTTAACAAATGCAAAAAGGCATAATAAGTGTGCAGCCTGATAGATTATCCGAAATGAACATACCCAGGTAAACATCAAGAAATAGAACTTTACCAGCACCCCAGAAGCCACTCTCCTGCTCCTTACCAAATATTATCCCCTCCGAGGTATTCAAAGGGAATCACTAATCCACACAATAGATTGGTTTTACCGGTGTTTGAACTTTATGTAATGGAATAAAACAGTAAGCACCCTTTTGAGACATAAAAACTTTTTTTTTTTTTTAAGATTTTATTTATTTGTCAGAGAGAGAGAGAGCACAAGTGTGTACAAGCAAGGGGAGCAGCAGGCGGAGAAGCGGATTCCCTGCTGAGCAAGAAGCCCGATGCGGGCCTTGATCCCAGGACCCTGGGATCGTGACCTGAGCCAAAGGCAGCCGCCCAACCAACTGAGCCATCCAGTCGTCCCGACATAAAAACTTTCTATGGTCAGTGCTGCCCTGTTTGGAGCTGAAAAGGACCAAGGACTGTTACAGGAGGAAGTGCAAACATACCTTATGTAAGCACAGGATGAAGGACATGGTCCTGCATCAGATGGAGATGTGGACTGTTCAGTCCTGAGATTCTCTGATTCCATGGTCAGCTGGCCAAAGTGTTTATCAAATCACCCTTGTATTAAGAATTTGTGTGAGGGGCGCCTGGGTGGCTCAGTCGGTTGGGCATCTGCCTTCCGCTCAGGTCACGATCTCAGGGTCCTGGGGTGCCTGGGTGGCTCAGTCATTAGGCGTCTGCCTTCGGCTCAGGTCATGATCGCAGGTCCTGGGATCGAGTCCCGCATCGGGCTCCCTGCTCCGCAGGAAGCCTGCTTCTCTCTCTCCTACTCCCCCTGCTTGTGTTCCCTCTCTCGCTGTGTCTCTCTGTCAAATAAATAAATAAAATCTTTTAAAAAATGATCTCAGGGTCCTGGGGTAGAGCCCTGTGACATGCTCCCTGCTCAGTGAGGAGCCTGCTTCTCCCTCTCCCTCTGCCCCCACCTCAGCTTGTGCGCTCTCTCTCTCAAATAAATAAAATAAAAAAAGAACTTGTGTGGCACATTATAAGAAGCATTTGATCCATCAAGGCAAAAAATTAAAATATGGATAATACCTAATGCTGGGGACAGTGTGGGGAAAAGGACACTTCCATTTACAATTATTAAAGTATATGATATAATTTCGAGGGCAATTATCTAATATCGAGCAAAGTACTAAATGTTCATACTTTTTGGCCGGCAAACTTGCTTCTAGAAATATATCCTCCATGAGAGACTCTGGACTCCGGGAGCCAAACTGAGGGTTATAGAAGGGAGGGGGTGGGGGATGGGGTAACCGGGTGACGGGTATTTAAGGAGGGCACATGGTGGGATGAGCACTGGGTGTTATACGCAACTAATGAGTCGTTGAACACTACATCAAAAACTAATGATGTACTGTATGTTGGCTAACTGAACATAATAAAAAAAATTACAAAATAAAATAAAAAATAAATAAATTTAAAAAAAAGAACTATATCCTTCAGAAGGACTTGCCACGCACCCCTGTACTGTGCCTCAACTTCCTTATTTCTAAACCAGGGATGATAGTACATACCTCAGGGGGTTGCTGTGACGATTAAATGAGTACACACACACACAATGCCTGGTACTCAAGTATTTAAGTGCCAATTCTTGCCTTTGTCTTAGTACATTGGCACTGTTCACTGGACCTTTTCCCAAAAGACCAATAAACCTCCAAATATCTAACTCTTACCAAATAACACACCCCTCCGGGAAATGAGACTGGATTACTGTTTGTCTCAGTGTGGCCCCTGGGAGCTTATTAAAATGCAGATTTCTGGGCCCACCCTAAACCGGAGAGAATTACTAAGGCGGAAGCACCGTGACTCTGTACCTGGATCAAATTTCCCAGGTGTTTCTTACTTGGCCGAAAGCCGAAGTCCGCCGGCCAGAAGGCGTCGTTCTTCCGCAGCACTTCAGCCTCCGGCTCCCGGAAGAGCACCTCTGTCCGCCGGGGGGGGGGTGTGCTGCACTTGCCTCCTCTTTTCCGCTTCCGGTGTCTCCCTGCAGCCATGGCCGCCGCCGCCGCTGCTGGCGGTCCTGGGGCGCCTGTGTCCCCAGATGAATTGCTTCCGAAAGGCGATTCCGAGAAGACTGAAGAGGAGCTGGAGGAGGAAGACGACGAGGAGGTACTGGGGCCCTGCGGTGAGGGGTGGGGTGCGAAGTTACGGGCGGGGAGCGACCGGCTCGGGGGTGTGAGCTCCGCGTGCTGCGGGATTTGGACGAAGGCGCGTCGCGGAGCCCGGAGAGGTCGGGGGGAGGTGTCTTCTCCGGGAGGCGGGGTTAGGGCCCCCACTGGGCCGGGGCAGGGTGCCCTAGCCCCAGGGGGTGGTTGCCGTTGCTTCGGTCAAAACCCGCCCCGCTTCCACCACAGCTAGATGAGACCCTGTCGGAGAGACTGTGGGGTCTGACGGAGATGTTCCCAGAGAGGGTCCGGTCCGCGGCTGGAGCGACTTTTGATCTCTCCCTCTTTGTGGCTCAGAAAATGTACAGGTAAGGGACGAGGGCAAAGACATTGGGGTGTGCCTGGGGTGACTGAAATGCCGCGAATGAGCGTGGGATTTGGAAGTAGCAGACGGGGGTTGGAGACCAGCCCGCCACCTAGACCACTGAGTGACCTTGGGCTGGTGGGTACCTTAACCTTTCTTGGTCTCCATTTCCTTTCCCTAAAGTGGCAGTTCTTACGGGTCGGGGTTGTTGGGAGGATCGTTTCACATTATGTGAGGTAATTAATGTGCTGTTTAAGTAGCTTTGTAAGAACTCAGGAGAACGTTGGAACTGCTGGCAGGAGAAGAACGGCCGGCAGAAGTGCTTGTCCTGTTTCTGGTAGGAGTATGGTGCAAGGGTTGGGTAGAAACACGCCTGTCAAAAACATGGGAGCGTGAGAGGTTTCGTTACTGGTTCCTTGGTGAAGCGGGCCCGTTTTTGTCTCACTTTCATGCTCACACTCCCTCTGCAGGTTTTCCAGGGCAGCCTTGTGGATTGGGACCACTTCCTTCATGATCCTGGTTCTTCCTGTTGTCTTTGAGACTGAGAAGTTGCAAATGGAGCAGCAACAGCAACTGCAGCAGCGGCAGGTGAGCCCAGCCCCTGGGCCTGTTGCCAGTGGTGGAGAGGCAAGTTGTTGATTTCCCAGCACCTGCGGAGACCAGCAGTTACTTGTGGGTAGAGATTGGGCTCCAGCCCATGCTTTTTTGGGTACCTGACTGTGCTCAGCAGTTTGTGTAGATCTTGTCTGCCCTGTTAAGTGGAAATGCAATCCCTAGGCTTGTGTGATGCCTTATACCCCTCCTTTTCTTTTCCAGATACTTCTAGGGCCTAACACAGGGCTCTCAGGAGGAATGCCAGGGGCTCTACCTTCACTTCCTGGAAAGATCTAGATTGCTACTGCTATATGACTTGTCTCAGTGGGACAAGTTTGAAAATTCAATAGTGTTTGAACTGCTGATTATTTGGATTTTTTTTCTTTTTTTTAACTTTGGCACATTGATCTATCTAAACCTGGTGGGGAGAATTCTCCCCAGTGTCTCACGGAGACTCCCAACTTGCAACTGTGCCCTCCACGCTGTCCCATTTCTTCTGTTCTCACTCTGATACGAGTTCAGGAATGCAGACGGTTACTCCAGCTCTGGCCATCCCACCCCTTTCACTAAGTCACTCATGACCGGAAGATCTCACTATCCCATTGTGGCAGAGGAACTGATGCCACTGGGAAGGATGTACCCCTGACCATTTTTGTTTTTAAGCATGGAGATGTTGGGAAGGGACATGCACACGACATGAAATACACAATGCATTACAGCCGTAGTGTAACACAGCCACTGTGAATTCCTATGTTGGAAAGGAGGGAGGGCCGGGCAGCAGTTTCAACCATAGGATGGACAGAGTAGGAGCTCATTTCCTCTGCCCATTTTGGCTATCAAGAGACCTGTGTGTCTGTCTAAAAAAGAAAAAAAAGTAAGTGCTCACTTTTTGTATTTAAATATTAAAAACGATTCCAATGGAAAGTGTCATCTATGTACTTGTGATACACATCTCGAAATCACTTCAGACTGCCCCTCACATTTCCTTTCAGCTCAGCTAGCCATCACCATTTAACAGTTTGACCCCTCAGGTGCAAGTTAGTTAAACTTCCAAAAGTGAAAAAGATGTTTATTTCTGGCCAAGAACCTTTTAATAGTAATCTCTGCCCTGAATTCAGGCAATCATTTTCAGATCCACCAACAAAGGACTAGGTCCATGTACTTGTACAGTCTACAGTGACATAAAGGATTTGTAGGTAATGACACAGTACTGATTTCTGGTCAAGGGAGGGAAGGGTGGCAAATAGAACTTTTTTGGTTTGTTCTTTTAAAAATAATTGCTGAGATGAGCTGATTATGCATCCAACTGTATCCTTGTCTTTGAACTTTGCAGTTTTTCATTTAACAAATTTTTATTAACAGTATTGAGCCTTTTATGTGTATCATATTTATCAAAATAATACTATACAGTTTAGGGTGTAGTACTATTCCTATTTTACAGAGGAGGAAACTGTCACAGAAAGGTTAAGTAATCTACCAGACTGCATAGGAAATGCTGGATCTGAATTCAAATCCAGTACGCCCTCTGCTATGTGATCTTGACCTTGTTAACCAGAGAAAAACACTGGTTACCTGTCAGTGCTGGTAAAGAAAACTTGTACTTAAGATTAGGATTCCTCAGATAATGTTGAGCCTAGTTTTTGTAAACTGAAAAATGTCTCAGGCTTTTGAACCAAATCCTACTTAGTGAATATCTTGTCTGGATTTTTGAGGCTTGAGAGGTTTGACCAAAACACAAAATAGGTCTAAAAGATGGTTTATAATGGTAGTGAGTTTTTCTTCTAAAGCACTGTTATACTAAAGTTTACTTTTTTCCCCCTCCACATACGTAATTACAGAATTCAGGCAGACAGGTGAGATTTATGTATGGAGTTTTCCATTTTTAATATTTGGTTAAACAAAATACATCTTTTGTAAACAAACCCAGCACAAGGCCAACAACAACAAAAAAAAGGAATAAAAGCAAGAAAAACAAAAAGCCTAGGGTTGCCCCTTATTGGGCATCAGGGTCAGGCCTGCCCCCTTCCTTAAAGGAAGTGGGGCTTTTTGCCCTTGGGCATCAGCATGGGTCCCTGTTCCTAAGCACCAAAATTGGATATGAACAGAGAAACCAGCCCTGAAATGTTTAAGCGTCTTTGCATATCCCATTGGCTCATGGACTCCAAGTGCACGGGGACTCCTCTGAAGTGCCATTTGCACAGGCCCAAGCAGATTGGAGAGGAGTTCCCCGTCCTCCCAGAAGATGGCTTACTATCACTGACAGTGCCCATGGACCCAAGGTCCTGCTTGTGACAATCAGGTTGGCTGTAACTTCTGGCTGGTGGTGGTTGGAATGTCATTGTGCAGGGGTAAAGAGCTCCCTGTGGTGCCAAGCAGGTCTGGTGTGGAAAATGGTGCAGAAGAGACTGCAGCCAGTTGCCAAGGGGGTGTGATGCAGTAGCTGCTTGGTGGCCTCTGTTACTCGGCATAAAAAACGGCCTTGTTGGATTGAAGATACATGTGCAGAAAAAGTGCTGGTGTAAACATGCACTCCAGTCACAGTGGGGAGAAAGCCTCAGCTTAATCCTGTTAAGCTTGCTCAGGCTGGACATGCAAGCCCCAGGCTGGCTTTGCTGCTGGAGAGACGTCTGGCCAGTGGGGCAGCTCTCAGACCCGCCAAGACCACCGAACTTTAAGGGGTAGACAGGCCATCCCTGCCTGCCCACCTGTCTTGAGGCAACCACAACCACTTGGGTGACACACAGTGTGGTAGGATACTTCCCCTCCTTCTCTTTTGTTTTCCAAAGTTACAGGAGAAAAGTGGCCTACAACTATTTGAAGAGGTAGGGGGTCGATCAATTCTCGTTGATTTGTAAAGGAAACTAAAGAAAGATGACAAATCCAGGTCCTATAACATAATGCACGTAAACACCCAACTTGAGGGTTCTGATTCTTGTCACTATAGTGACTCCGAGCCTAGGACTTCTACCAATTCTAGCTGCTCTTACTCTCTGAGTAGCTTATCTTCACAATACTTTTCCTCACTCAACTGTTTCTCAAACTAGTGGAATTTGATATCGAAGGCAGACTTGTTTCCTGATTCTGCCGGAGTGTGTCAACCGGAAAAACTGCTCTCTGGCCTATCTCGTGCCCCAGAGCCTCCGAAATCAATGTAGTGAAGTGGCAGGGACAATGCTGGAGTGAGGCCGACAGGCCATCTGTGCCGGCCCCAGTCTGCCTTCTGCCATGTCCTCTTAGGTATCTAGCTCACCCTGTCACACTAGAATATTGCAGGAGTCAACCACCCGGCATGGAATACTAAATGTTTCATTAGAAAACTCCAAGGATGGCCATAAACCACCCTCAAAATGGGGGTAATGGGTGGCATTAAGGGTTGGAGATGGCATGCTGTACCACTGCTGGGGTTTTGGAGATGGTTTCCTGAGAGGCCCTTATGCTCTGGGTCCGTCAAGCCAGTCACATGGGCTGTGCATGTACTATGTCTTCAGACCCACTGGTTGCCAGGAAAGGGGAAGTGGAGGCAGCATCTCCAGGTGAGTCACAGCAGCAGTGTCCTCCAGCAGAGCCTCTGTCAAGTCCTCGTAGGGATGGGGAAAGTTAAGATTGGATCCACCTTTCTTCCTCCTCTCAAAGAAAACAAGGGTCTTCCACAGCTCCGCCCTAAGCACACAGAGCTCCTACCTTCCTGTCCCAGGAATGAGTAACGCTGGGTGGTGGTTCTTGTAACCGTCCACACATCCGTCTCCTATTGCACTGTCAAATCGGAGGGGAAACCCAATGAGATGTTTGGGGGAGTGGCAAGGGCAGACCCACTGGATAGGCCACAACACATGACAGAGGACTTGGGGGGCCGAGGGGAGGGAAGGCTGGGTAGAACTGCATTACACGTCAGCCCTCCAACTCTGACGGGCCTCCACCTCTTCTGGCACCACCAGCAGGAGTTCACAGTTCTTTCCTCGCAAGTGATGTTTGAGAAATTTCCTATGGGAACAAAGGGTAGATGAGAGAAAATGAAATGCTGGTAAAACTGCAAACTCCAGCCTCGGGGCCGCATGCTCCCCAGTGACCTCATTATTTACGCCCTTGGCAGTCCTAAAGACACTCTTGGAGGGATCTGTTCTTGCAGGGTTCCACATCTGGCTACCCCTTCAACCTGTCCAGCTCATTGCCAACCTGAATTTTCATTCATCCTCAGTTATGTGAGGATGTGAGGAACAGAGCCAGCCCGAAGTGCTCAAGGTCATTGTTTAAAAAAAAAAGTTTCTTCTTTGGTCTCAGGGAAATTTAGCCCTTTCTGGTCTAAATGTCTGTCTTCCTTCTGAACTGGCAGCTGTACCATCCCATCTGTCTTAAGCGTAGAGAATGTTACGATGCTGGTCCTACCAGACCAGAAGGCCAGCATTCTGGCTGCGGGAACTTCTCTACCAAAGGGACTTCACATCCTCAGGGGCCATCAAAGATACAGGTCTTTCAAGTCTGAGACCATGATTCTAAGCAGGGCACGGAGAGGATCCAAGTCGCTAGGGATTTCATCTCCTTCGTCAAATAACCAAAGATGGGCTCAACTTCCCCAACGCACCAAAGGAAGGAGCCCGGCCCATTCACAACAGGTACCTGAGCTCGCTCTCGCCTCCAATCCACTCGGGCATCTTCAGTTTGGAGTCGAGGTTGTAATAGGCACCTCCCACCTCTCGAACACAGATCCAGTGCTGCCTTTTGAGAGGCAACTTCAGTGGACCCCAGCACAGGCTGGAGGGCAGATTCATGATGAAGCCCATGACATTCGTGAGAGCAATGGCACTGACATCCCTGCAGAAGAGAAAAGGCATCAACTCCCCAAGGTTCCCAGCAGGAACACCTCCCCACTCGGGCCCAAGTGCCTGTTCTCATCAAGTCAAGCCTGGTTCAGATTACCTGCGTTTGTCCCACCAGACAGCTTCATAGCCTTTGGTTTGAAGTGCCGCCATAATGACGTTCACATCGTAGTTCCCATTTCCTAGCATGCTCTTCTTGTGGGGGGTCACCATGGTGTTTGGAGACAACCTACAAATGTGAAAGGAGGAGGGCTGAGACGTGTGGGCTGTCCAACTCCTCCTGCCCGGCACCCCACAGACACCTTCCACCACTGCCCCCGGAAGCTTCTTTCCTCCATCCAGTCCAAGGTAACCACTTTTTACCCAAGTATTTTATAGTTTGGACTCCTACTGCCCTAGGGATTACCACCTCTCTTTTTATGCAAAACATTAATTCCGTAGTGGTGGGGCCTACTTGGCTGTCACTCAGAAAGTCAATGGACCCAAACCATGTTCCACAAGAGGTCTCATTTGTGAAACCCTCAGCCTACCTATTTCTGCAGTCTTCTTCCTTGCTGATCTTCCTGCCTTAATATAGCCATTTTTCTTAAACATTACCATTGGTAGTTTTTGTTGCTACTCTTGTTTTCTTTTATAGTTTTTAAATTTTTATTTAAATTCAACTAATTAACACATAACATTATTACTGTCAGAGGTAGAGTTCAGTGATTCATCGGTCTTATATAATACCCAGTGTTCATTAAAATCATGTGCCCTCCTTAATGCCCATCACCCAGGTACCCCATCCCCCAACTCCCTCCCCTCCAGCAACCCTCAGTCCACTTCCCATGATCAAGAGTCTCTTATGGTTTGTCTCCCTCTCTGATTTCGTCGTTTCATTTTTTCCTCTCTTCCCCTATGATCCTCCCTTTTGTTTCTTAAATCCCACATGAGGAAGATCATATCACTGTCTTTCTCTGATTGACTTATTTTGCTTAGCATAATACCCTCTAGTTCCATCCATGTCATTGCAAATGGCAAGATTTCATTTTTTTTTTTTGATGGCTGAGTAGTATTCCATGATATATAGAAACCACATCTTCTTTATCCATTCATCTGTTGATAAGACACCTGGGCTCTTTCCATAGTTTGGCTATTGTGGACATTGCTGCTATAAACATTGGGGTGCACGTACCCCTTCAGATCACTACGTTTGTATCTTTGTGGTAAAAACCCAAGCAGTGCAATTGCTGAGTCATAGGGTAGCTCTACTTTCAACTTTTTGAGGAATGTCCATACTGTTTTCCAGAGTGGCGGCACCAGCTTGCATTCCCACCAACAGTGTAGGAGGGTTCACCTTTCTCCGCATCCTTGCCAACATCTCTCATTTCCTGACTTAATTTTAGCCATTCTGACTGGTGTGAGGTGGTATCTCATTGAGGTTTTGATTGTATTTCCCTGATGCCGAATGATGTTGAGCATTTTTTCATGTGTCTGTTGGCCATTTGTATGTCTTCTTTGGAGAAATGTCTGTTCATGTCTTCTGCCCATTTCTTGATTGGATTATCTGTTCTTTGGGTGTTGAGTTTGGTAAGTTCTTTATAGATTTTGCATACTAGCCCTTTATCTGATAAGACATTTTCTTCTCCCATTCTGTCGGTTGCCTTTTGGTTTTGTCAACTGTTTCCCTTGCTGTGCAAAAAGCTTTTTACCTTGAAGAAGTCCCAATAGTCATTTCTGCCTTTGTTTTCCTTGCTTTGGAGACGTATCTAGCAAGAAGTTGCTGTGGCCAAGATCACAGGGTTTGCTGCCTGTGTTCTCTAGGATTTTGAGGGACTCCTGTCTCACATTTAGGTCTTTCATCCATTCTGAGTCTATTTTTGTGTGTGGTGTAAGGGTCCAGTTTCATTCTGCATGTGGCTGTCCAATTTTCCCAACACCATTTGTTGAAGAGACTTTTTTCCATTGGATATTCTTTCCTGCTTTGTCGAAGATTAGTTGACCATAGAGTTGAGGGTCCATTCCTGGGTTCTCTATTCTGCTCCATTGATCTCTGTGTCTTTTTCTGCGCCAGTACCATACTGTCTTGATGATTACAGCTTTGTTATAGAGTTTGAAGTCCGGCATTGTGAAGCCACCAGCTTTGGTTTTCTTTTTCAACATTCCTTTGGCTATGTGGGGTCTTTTCTGGTTCCATACAAATTTTAGGATTATTTGTTCCAGCTCTGTGAAAAAAGTTGATGGTATTTTGATAGGGATTGCATTGAATGTATAGATGGCTCTAGCTAGCATAGGCATTTTAATATTTGCTCTTCCAATCCATGAGCATGGAACGTTTTTCCATTTCCTTGTGTCTTCCTCAATTTCTTTCATGAGTGTTTATAGTTTTCTGAGTACACCTCCTTTGCCTATTTGGTTAGGTTTATTCCTAGGTATCTTATGGTTTTGGATGCAGTTGTAAATGGGATCAACTCCTTAATTTCTCTCTTCTGTCTCATGGTGTATAGAAATGCAACTGATCTCTGTGCACTGATTTTATATCCTGCCACTTTGCTTAATTACTGTATGAGTTCTAGCAATTTTGGGGTTGAGTCTTTCGGGTTTTCCACACATCATGTCATCTGCAAAGAGTGAGAGTTTGACTTCTTCCCTGTCGATTCAGATGCCTTTTCTTTTTGTTGTCTGATTGCCGAGGCTAGGATTCTACCACTATGTTGAACAGCAGTGGTGATGGTGGACATCCCCGCCGTGTTCCTGACCTTAGGCGAAAAGCTCTCAGTTTTTCCCCACTGAGAATGATATTTGTTGTGGGTTTTTCATAGATGGCTTTTATGATATTGAGGTATGTACCCTCTATCCCTACACTGTGAAGAGTTTGAAACAAGAAAGGTTGCTGTGCTTTGTCAAATGCTTTTTCTGCATCTATTCAGAGTATCATATGGTTCTTGTTCTTTCTTTTATTTATGTAGTGTATCACATTGATTGATTTGTGGATGTTGAACCAAACTTGTAGCCCAGGAATAAATCCCACCTGGTCATGGTGACTAATCCTTTTAATTTACTGTTGGATCCTACTGGCTAGTATTTTGGTGAGAATTTTTTGCATCCATGTTCATTAGGGATATTGGTCTGTAATTCTCCTTTTTGGTGGAGTCCTCATCTGGTTTTGGGATCAAGGTAATGTTGGCCTCACAGAAAGAGTTTGGAAGTTTTCCTTCCATTGTGATTTTTTGAAACAGCTTCAGAAGAATAGGTATTTTTTTTTTTTTTAAGATTTTATTTATTTATTTGACAGAGAGAGACACAGCGAGAGAGGGAACATAAGCAGGGGGAGTGGGAAGGGGAGAAGCAGGCTTCCTGCCAAGCAGGGAGCCTGATGTGGGGCTTGATCCCAGGATCCTGAGATCATGACCTGAGCCGAGGGCAGTTGCTCAACCAACTGAGCCACCCAGGCGCCCCCAGAAGAATAGGTATTAACGCTTCTTTAAATGTTTGGTAGAATTCCCCTGGGAAGCCATCTGGCCCTGGGCTCTTGTTTGTTGGGAGATTTTGACTACTGCTTCAATTTCCTTGCTGGTTATGGGTCTGTTCAGGTTTTCTACTTCATCCTGGTTCAGTTTTGATACTTTATACATCTCTAGGAATGCATCCATTTCTTCCAGATTGCCTAATTTGTTGGCATATAGTTGCTCATAATATGTTCTTATAATTGGGGCGCCTGGGTGGCTCAGTTGGTTAAGCGACTGCCTTCAGCTCAGGTCATGATCCCAGGGTCCTGAGATCGAGCCCCGCATCGGGCTCCCTGCTCGGCGGGAAGCCTGCTTCTCCCTCTGACCCTCCCCCTGCTTGTGTTCCCTCTCTCGCTGTCTCTCTGTCAATTAAATAAATAAATAAAATCTTTAAAAAAAAATATGTTCTTATAATTGTTTGTATTCCTTCGGTGTTAGTTGTGATCTCTCCTTTTTCATTCATGGTTTTATTTGGGTCCTTTCTCTTTTTGATAAGTCTGGCCAGGGGGTTATCAATCTTATTATTTCAGAAAACAAGCTCCTGGTTTTGTTGATCTGTTCCACTGTTCTTTTGGTTTCTATTTCATTGATTTCTGCTCTAATCTTTATTCACTTATCCTGCTGGGTTTAGGCTTTATTTACTGTTCTTTCTCCAATTGCTTTAGGTGTAAGGTTAGGTTGTGTCTTTGAGACCTTTCTTGTTTCTTGAGAAAGGCTTGTGTTGCTATATACCTCCCTCTTAGGACTGCCTTTGCTGCATCCCAAAGGTTTTGAACAGTTGTGTTTTCATTTTCATTTATTTCCATGAATTTCTAAAATTCTTTAATTTCCTGGTTGACCCATTCATTCTTTAGTATGATGCTCTTTAGCCTTCATGTATTTGAGTTCTTTCCAAATTTCCTCTTGTGTTTGAGTTTGAGTTTCAAAGCATTGTGGTCCAAAAATGTGCAGGGAATGATCCCAATCTTTTGGTACCAGTTGAGACCTGATTTGTGACCCAGTATGTGATCTGCTCTGGAGAATGTTCCACGTACACTCTTGAAGAATATGTATTCTGTTGTTTTAGGATGGAATGCTCTGAATATACCTGTGAAGTTCATCTGGTCCAGTGTGTCATTCAAAGCCCTTGTTTCCTTGTTGATCTTCTGCTTAGATGATCTCTCTCTTGCAGTGAGTGGAGTGTTAAAGTCCCTGACTATTATTGTATTATTATCAATGTGTTTCTTTAATTTTGTTATTAATTGGTTTATATAATTGGCTGCTCCCATGTTAGGGGCATAAATATTTACAATTGTTAGATCTTCTTGTTGGATAGACCCTTTAAGTAGGATACAGTGTTCTTCCTCATCTCTTATTACAGTCTCTGGTTTAAATCTAATTTGTCTGATATAAGGATTGCCACCCCAGCTTTCTTTTGATGTCCATTAGCATGATAAATGGATTTCTACCCCCTCACTTTCAATCTGGAGTTGTGTGGGTCTAAAATGAGTCTCTTTAAGACACCATATTGATGAGTCTTGCTTTTTTATCCAATCTGATATCCTTTGTCTTTTGATTGGAGCATTTAGCCCATTTATATTCAGAGTAACTACTGAAAGATGAATTTTGTGCGGTTGTATCACCTGTAAAGTCACTGTTTCTGTATTATTGCCTCTGTTCCTTTCTGGTCTATGTTACCTTTGGGCTCTCCCTTCACTTAAGGGATCCCCTTTAATATTTCTTGCAGGGCTGGTTTAGTGAT